GATGTCAGATCTTCATATCTGCGCAGCTGTATCTGGCATTGACAAGCCAAGAAGTGCTTTCCTCAGAGCATGTTGGATTTGCCCTCCAGCTCTGGAGGTGTGAGAGGTTTGAACAAGACTATGGTAACTGGGAATATCTTTTTGGAAAATAGACAATTGATATGAACTGTAAAAACCCTTTAACACGATATTGGCGTAATTAATAGAACATTGCTTTCTGTAATCCATGATCAAAATGAAAAAAAACATTTCCTTACATCAGTAATAATGGTTGATCCCAGTTTATCAGAACAGAAAAAATGGGTCGACCACTTAATTTTTTGGCGTTTCTATGGCAGTAGGTCCGAGGTCTAGTACTGGAGGAGCACAGTCTCAGCTCATTTTTCTTCCAATGAAGCTCTGAATCTACAGTGTTAATTTATGGGTTAACTGATCTGCTTGCTCGTTTAGACTTTTATATATTCCTTCAATTCAGAGTGTCAAAATACCCAACTTCGAGTGTGATGTTTTCAAAAACTCCATCTCACCAAACTTTATGCAGTTGCCCCTCAACTTGCTTGCCGTTATTTCTTACTGAACAGTTCTTACTAGCTGTTTGGTTGATGATTCAGTTGATTACATTTCAGACAGTACACCTACAGTAAATGCCACCAGTTATGAAACTCCAAAATTGATAAAGTTTTGATATCAGTTACAAATCCCATTCAAACTTTTATGAGCTGAATGCAAATTTATGAACGTGCCCGAGGGACATATTTGTAAAGACATACCAGTATGAAGGTGTAGTGGAGAACGATTTCCTTTAACTTTAAGAGGGTGACATAATGGTTAGCAGTTGTCACCACTGCCTCCCAGCTCTTGGGTTTTGTGTTGGGTTTTCCTTGGGGTGCCATCCTTGTGGAAGTTCTCTACATGAGTTTTTCCCCAAGATCTGGAGCTGTCCAGTTTCATTTTCATCTCTAAATCCCCCTCCCACACCATTCACGTGTGTGTTTTACCTGTGATGTTCCTGTATGTCCTGTCCAGAGTGTTGTACCACCTTCACTCAAGGCCTGCTGGGATAGGCTCTTGCTCACTGTGACCCTCTAAAGATAAAGCATTTACTCAAAATGTGTGGACGTCAGTCCAATATTATTCCTTTTTCGTAAGCAGTGGTCAGGGTTCTGGACTCGTAACTTGAGGGGTTAAAGTTTAAATCCCAAGTGGGACACTGATGTTGTTTTATTCTGGAGCCAAATAAGGGCTGTGGGGCTTAAATTTCACCTGAATTGTTCCAGTAAAATAGTCATCTGTCTAAATGGATATAAGTGATTTGGCAGATGCTTTTATCCAAAACAAAATAATTGTCAGAAATGAGAAATCTAGAAAGACTAGTCATGTGTTGCTCTCAGAGCTGTTTTCCAGCTCTCCTGCAGAGCAGAAGTGGTAGTATTTTATGGCACCTTGTGAAGGTCAAAGAATATATGGCCTTTGCTTCAATATGACATCGATCAGGAAAAAAACACCACGCTGATGGTCTGCTTGCACACAACTGCTGCATCTTGTTTAAACATCCAAAATCACACTTTAAAAAGTACTGTTCCATCAATGTGCCATTTCACATTTCTCTTACTTCACTTCAAACTGCAACACCTTGGGGGACAGGGGTTTCGGTGCATTGAAGATGTGTTTGCAATTGTTAATATTGGGGAGTGTGAGCAGAAATGTGGAAGAAGATTTTTCAGACAAACGTATCAGAAAAAACGCTGCCTAATTTTTTCCTCTACAAAAACATTCTCTCATGTTTATTTCCTTAAGAAACAATCCTTTCTCTTCGTTCATGCCTCTCTCATCACTTTCCTAGATTTCTACCTTCAGATCTTTACAATAGTGTTCCAAAAATGCAAAGTTTATTATTTTCTCCAGAGTACAAAGCGTCGCAATGTGTGAATGTAATGTAACCAGCTACCTATTCAGTTAATCCAACAAAAAACAAAGAAACCACAAAACACTTTTGGTCTAATGGCTGCCCTGCCTGGAAATACTCTGCTAAAACAACTGACTTGAGAAGCACAGAGCACCTCTGATGGTCCAGTAAGGGGCCATGTCACTATATGGTGACAGAAGGTGTGATTCAGGTGTGCCCTATATACTGTAGCCCGAAATCTTCAAGACATAAATTGTGACTTAAAATACATTCATTATGGCTTCTCTTACCAGAGTGTGTCAGATTTAAAGGTTTCTGTACATAGATTGCAACCTGCAGGACAGTCCTGTAAATGAAAAAGATTAAAATAATTTTTAAACCAGTATGTTAATCAGTTTATTAGGAACGGACGTGATCATAAAGAAGGAATTTGTGTCTTCTTTATGATGTGCATGCCTACGTGAGTTCACATTGTAAAAATGTTGTGCTGAGTACTAGGAGGAGATCGCCACCTACTGGAAACCTGTGTGCTCCATGGTTCATACAAGACAGCTCGTTGCAGCCTTGCCAAACAATCCTGCCATTCTAGAGCTTGCAACTGGTTCACTTCCTTGGCTCATACTCCCTAGTCCTTAGGCATTCAATTTTTGTATTTGTTTTTGCTAGTATAGAAGTGATATGGTATTATGCTCTGCATTGTTTTCCTTGTTGACCTAGAGCACTG